GAATAGTAGTGATTCCCTAACAGGTACAACGTTTCTGTTCATAGTGATAGCAAGGCTCTGGAAGTGAGTAGTGGTCATGGCTGTACAACACCGTGAACACACCTTATGCTACCGGGTTGTACATTTAAAATGGTAGATTGCTCTATGCATATCTTACCACAATAAAACTGGCAAATCACAGGGGTTCTGCAGAAGATTTTAATGGCAGAGACAAAGCACTGTGCCTACAGCACAGAAGGGGGTTCAGGTCTGAATGTCCAGGAGCAAAGGAAAAGCTAACCACAAGCCCCCCTTGTACATCAGTTTTCTATCACAACCCCTTTTACCTGGAAGTGTCTTCAAACCCTCCAGCAACCTCTTATGATAGGTTTTTCTACCAGCTGTAAGAACAAACGATTTAGGCCAAAGAGAAATCAATAATTATGACAGTATAAAAATCATCTCAGGAAGTATGACTCTAGACTGATTTTCCATTTTCTTCCAATTTTTTAAAAAAATATGTAGCAACATTTTATGGCAGAGAACTTTTAAAAAGATGAGCATGTTTTTCCTCTTTGACATGTGCTAGGCAGACATTTTGCTGCTGTGAGATTAACTTGAAAAAACCAATTACAGGGAGAAAAGATTTATCTTGGTTCATAGTTACAGGGGATTTAGATCATAGCTAACTGGCCCCTTGTTTCTGCAACAGACATGAGTGAGAACACCACAGCAGAAATGCCTGACACAGCTGGGATGCTCTCCTCCTAGCCCGGATGCTCTCAGGGACGCTGAGATGTAAAACAGAGACTGTGCTTTCATTTCCCAGACACCCAGACCCGAATAATCACACAGAAACTGTATTAATTACAACACTGCCCAACAGCTCAGGCATATGTTTAGTTTGATATTACATCTTAAATTAACCCATTTCTATTATTTTTTTCACTCTATATTTATTCAACATAGTTCTTGAAGTTCTAGCTAGAGCAATAAGTCAACAAAAGGAGACCAAGGGGATACAAATTAGAATTGAAGAAGTCAAACTTTTGCTATTTGCAGATGGTATGATAATATATATATATATGAGACCCACCCCAAAAGGTATTGGGATTTTGATGGGAATTGCACTGAATCTGTAATTGCTTTCGGCAGGACTGCCATTTTTATTATGTTGATCCTACCTATCCAAGAGCATGGGAGATCTTTCTATTTTCTGATAGCCTCTTCAGTTTCTTTCTTCAAAGACATAAAGTTCTTGTCATACAAGTCTTTCACTTCTTTGATTAGTTACCCAAGATATTTTAAGTTACTTGTGTCTATTGTAAATGGTGATGTTTCTATGATTTCTTTCTTAATCCCTTTATCATTTGTATATAGGAGGGCTACTGATTTTTTTTTAGTTTATCTTGATCCTGCCACATTACTGAAGGTGTTTATCAGCTGTAGGAGTTCCCCCATTTCTATTATTTTATATTTTACTACGAGGCTCATGGTTTGTTATCTCACATCTTGCTTCCTGGGCATCTGCCTGACTAGGCCTTCCTTTCAGTTTAGTTTTTCCACCTAACTATATTTTGCCCTGCCATAGGCCAAAGCAGTTTCTTTAATAAATGATGGTAATAAAACATATTTACAACATACAGAGGGGAATCCCATATCACAGAGAGAGAGAGAGAGAGAGAGAGAGAGAGAGAGAGAGAGAGAGAGCATGCCTGTGTAAGAGCTTCCATCTTTTCCACCACACTTTGTTCCATCTGTGACCCCAGATGTAGGTGCCACATTCAGGGTGGGTTTCCTCCTCCGTTAATCATTTCTGGAAACACTCCTAGGCACACTCCTTATGCAATCTCTCAGACCCTTCTCCAAATGACAAGGATAATTAGCCACAGCTCTATGTAAAGCCAACATGATGCTGAAGTATGTAGCCTATTTTCTCTTCTTTTGTTTTTTATATTCTGATGCCCAGTACATACCCCATTTCATTTTCCTTGCCTTTTTTGCTTAACATTAAGCATGACTGTAAAATTAATAGTAGCAGTAGGCATTTCTTGCTGTTGAACTATAGTGATGATACATTTATTTCTAAATGAAGAACTACCTGCACAATTGATTATGTCTTCTTCGGGTAGGATTAAGTTCTTTTTTTTTTTGACAAGCTTTTTCACTCAGAATCAAACAGGACAGTGTTTGTATATAAGCTTGCAAATCTAAGCTTCTCAAAAGGTTACATGGAGGACATTTTTAATAACAGAACTTTTAGGCTGGATGATTCTTTTGTGCAACTCTATCTTACTCACTGAAATTCTCTATTACTCTATGGTTGTTAGTAATCTATGGCTTCATTCACTAGTCACCAGTGTTACCACCAACCAGTCCCTGCCAGTTGCAACACTAAAAAACTGTCTCCTAGATGTTACTAGTGTTGACTAAGGAAAAAAACCAACCTGCCCCCGCTGAAACAGTTGTGTCTATTTTAAACACTTACCATCGGCTTGTAACTTTCTCACCAGCTTCAGGAATTCCTTTTCTGTAAGTTCTAGCCCCATGTTTTCCAGAATGTCTTCTAAATCATCCATATCAATAGATTCTCCTATAAATAAGTAACAAAAACTTGAGAATTTAAAAAATTACTTAAGTATTCTCATCTTAGCATTGCTCTCAACTACTGTATCAAGAACAAAACTTCAAAATAAACACAGGTAAAATGTATCTTCTCATAATCATGGGGAAAGTATTACACGGTGTACACCTGTGTAGGGAATAAGATATCACTATGGATCAGAGTGTTTTTGGTGGTCTATATTCATATATTAGCTGGTAAAATTTATTTTAGTCTTTTTGTGATGCTCTATATCCCCAGCTGAAGCTTTCCCTTATTATCAATCAGGACTCATTTAAACTCAGTAGTTATGAATAATGTTACTGAGAAATACTTAAGAGAAAAAACTAGTTAAAGGCAGACAATCAAATTTTGCATAGACGGGCTAGAGAGATGGCTCAGTAGTGGTTAGGGCATGTGCTGCTACTCAGAGGACCTGGGTTTGAATTCTGGCATTGATGAAGTGGCTTACAAGTATCTCCAACTCTGGTTCCAGGAAATCTGATATACCTTTTAGGCCTCCATGTGCACCAGGCACTCACATGCTCACAGACATACATACAGACAAAACATTCATATGCATATTTTTTTGGCACAGAAATAGTAACTGAAGTATAGCTAATCCACATTTTAACTCTAGTCAACTAGAGGTATACCGCTTACTAATAAAAGGTAAACTATGTGAATACTGGCAGCAGCTATGGCAAAAGCATCATGTGACCCAGTAGAACTGCTTGTGCTCTTAGGTTCATTCCCAGTATTCTGTCACTTACCTCTCAACACATTTACTTCATCTAGAAGCTTCCTGAGCTCAATCTTCTCCCCAGCTATGAGAAAAGACACAAACAACTAGATGATACATATTTTAAATACACAGGATGCTTATTCATATCTTTAATCAAAATCTAATCTTTTTTGTTATATTTTCTAAATTTTATATTTAATTTATAATTAAGAGAATTGAGCTAATCTTCCATCAAAATAAGACTATATATGTCCTGGGTCATATGGCCTCTCATGTTATAAGAAATTATTTTGCCTTAGAAAGAGTATAAAATTTGGCTTACACTAGCCATAAAGTTCCATCAATGGTCATCACAAATGTAAAATTTTCATCTTTTGGTTAAAATACTATTCTCTTATATTTTCAATTATCATGGTTTTTTTGGATAGTTATTTATATAGTTCCTCATTTAAATATTTGATAATCCATTTATTGAATGTATCAAGCATTAATATCAATTAGTCTATATAACAACTCGTTATACTCGTTAGACTTGGAGGCATGTGTGAGACATTGTTGGTGTCTATAAATCAGTCACAACTAAGAGAAGTCTTGTTGGGCAATATTATTTTTAGGTGCATTGCTTTTATTTATGCTGCATTTGCTTAACTCTGTGAAGCTGTGATTCTTTGCCTGTCTAAAACACCTGATGGTCTAATAAAGAGCTGAATGACCAATAGCGAGGCAGGAGCAAGGCTAGGCGGGGCTGGCAGGCTGAGAGTAAAACAGAAGGAGGAACAAGGTGAGGAGGACATCAGGGGCAAGTCACCCAGTCACCCAGCTACACAGTAAGCCACGGAGAAAGAAGTAAAGAAAGGTATAGAGCCCAGAGGCAAAAGGTAGTCTAGATAATTTAAGAAAAGCTGGCAAGAAACAAACCAAGCTAAGGCCAGACATTCATAACAAAGAATAAACCTCTGTACATGATTTATTTTGGGGCTGGGTGGTTGGCCCCCCAAAAAGCCAAAAAAATCTAATTTGCTAATTCTCTTCCATGTGCCCAAGTAGCTCAGACTCAGCCCTTCATAAGCCCTGGGAAGTGAACTGTACCAAAATAAGGCCAAAGCTCAGATGGAGAAAAATAGAATAAATAATAGAACAACAGAGTTGAGAAAAAGGAGGGTTATTCGAAAAACCCAATAAAACTGACAAATCTGTAGCCAGCAGAGTCAAGGAGAAAAGGAAAGACTACTTTCCAAACTTGTTTAGAAGCCAGCACTGCATCAATGCCAAAATCAATAAAGAGAATGGCAGGCCAATGTCCATGTTGAACACAAACACAAACATTTTCAGTAAAAATACTTAAAAACCTCATTTAAGAACACAGAAAAATATCACTCATCATGGTCAGCCTGCCTTCATTCCAGAGATGAAGACACTGTTCAATATATACAAGGTAATAAATGTAATACACCACTGAGCTGAATACAAGGACACAAGTCACACGGTCACTCAAAAGAAGGAGAAAAGGCCTTTGGGAAAACCCAATATCCCTTTAGGATAAAAACCCCAAAGACACGGGGATAGGGAACATATCTCAACACAATGAAATACAATCAACTTTTTCCTGGCTTTGCTGAAATTCCATAGTTTCAGGACCATCTAGTTTTGGCATATAGTACAGATATCTGGAGATAATCTTTTGACCTTCCACTGAGATGTAATTTCTTGCTCACCTTCGACTGGAAGGTTATCTCTTAGAATTTTACTTTCTTTCTCTGTGAGTTCAATTCCCATGTTTCCAAGAGCTTTGTCCAGGTCCCTGAGATCAACCGTCCCTCCTTAGAAACGGAAAAAGGAGACAGTTAAATGGCTTCAGCGCATTCAAGGTACCTCTATACCCACATCTTATTTAACAAATGTTATTGTCTAAGAGGTGTGATGGAAAAACAACGGTACAATAAGTTATGCCAACGTCAAAAAGTGAGGAGAGGAATTATGAATGGAACTTGTTTTACCAAATGTTGACTGGAAGAAACGGGACACAGGAAGCAATCTTGGCTTCAGAAGTAGTAGAGGTCATTTTTGGCCTTGAAAGCTTAGATTATTTGACATAAAGTTATAAATAACTCTTTGCTATATAAAAATGTTTTTCAGATTTCTTTTCCCCTTCTGATAAACTTTGGGACAACTCAAGGCTATATGAAGAAATAGAAATAAGGATATTTATAGTGGTATATTATTTGTGTTTTAATAAATAAAGCTTGCCTGAAGATCAGAATGCAAAGCAGCCATACTAGTCACCCATTCAGGTCAGGGAGTGGTAGCACACACCTTTAATCCCAAGATTTGGGAGACAGAGGCAGATGGATCTCTGTTAGTTCAAGGCCACCTTGGGGCTGCTACACTTGATCCAATCTGTCTGAAAGAGAAACAGCTCATACAAAGAGGATCCCAGCACTTGGGATCACACGCCTTTAATTCCAGCACTAGGAAGGTGGAGAAAGGAGCAATATGGCTGGGTGGAGAGAGGACTATAAGGGAGAAGAGACAGGAACTCAGTGGAGTGTGGAGCATGGGGCCTAAGGTTGGTGGAGAATGTTGCGAGATCTCCCCTTTGTTGTCTGAGCCTTGGTAGAGGTACGACCTCTCTAGTGACTTGGCTGCTTCACTTTTCTGATTTTCAGCTTGAACCCCAATATCTGTCTCTAGCTTTTTATTATTCATGTTACAGATATTCCCTAAGAAAACCAATTTGTAAGGAAGCATAAATAATTAGTAAATGTCTAGTACTCATAAATATAGACACTGGATTTTAATATTTAAATTGTTACCTTTAAGAGACTTTACAGCATCCAGCACATTATTCTGATATAACTTCCCAGCAGCTACGAGAAAAGGTAAATTCATGTCAGAATGACACTCATGCAGATAACATGTTCTATGAATGCAGATAATATGTTCTATGACTCTAGAATCATGTCAGAACAACAGTCATACAGATAACATGTTCTATGACTCTAGAATCTGTTTTTCACATTTACTCTAAAATGCGGATTAAAATGGTAAAACTTGACAAAGTGTGACAAATCTCTCTGTCACCTAAGTCACTGTGTACCAGGACCACTCTCAACCGTGATCACCATGGCTGCCTCCACCACCATTACCATGGCCATCATCCCAGCATCCCATCACAGCCCATCACATTTATTCCTTGTTTAACTGTGTACCAATCACTTTTCAAGGTGCTTTATTCTGTCCAATTCTCACTCCCATTTTGAAGATGTGGGACTCAGGATGGTTAGTAGAGTAGTTAGCAGTGGCTCGTCCAAGACAACACAGTGACAGGTAGTGAAGCCAGGATTTGAACCTATGGACTCAGACTTGGGACTCTCTATCACTGCTACCCTTTTATTCCACCCGAATTATCCTTCCTTGCCCTTGTTCTAATTCTTTTTTTTTCTTTTCTTTTTTTTTTATTAAATTATAAAAGTTTCTTCACTCTCCTCATTTGTCTTTCTTTCTCTGACAATAACTAAGCTTCACAATTTGTGGTAAATGCTAAGTTATATCAATTTCTTATGATTAAAGGTTTTAATGATCTAAGAGGTAAAATTTAATTAATAGCTACATGGGTTCGGGATAACCTAGAATTCAATTAATTAGTCAATAAAGTTCTAGAATTACTAGTGGGAATGGCCTAGAAAGTTCTTACAAGTGCTCATAAATAGCCATAAAATTAGTGCTTTCATAAGGTTGAAGAGGTAACTGACTTACCATCAGTAGGCAGGGTTTTTTTGAGGTCTGAGTATTCTGCATCTGTTAGCTCAATCCCCAGGCTTCTGAGATAACTTTTAATACTTTTAAGGTTGCTTCCATCAACCTTGTTTCCTTTAAAAAATGAGAATATGATTACTTGAGAATTTAAAGACTCACTTAATGATTTGCAATTCTTATGCCTGGCTAAAGAGTCACAATTTGAGACTAAGCAAAGAAAGAATGAAATTATCTCTTTTCCTGGAAAGGGAAAAAGAGAGAGAGAGAAGAAAAGGGAGAAGAAAGAGGAAGGAGGGGAAGAAAGGGGAGGAGGAAGAGGAAGAAGAGAAAGAAGAAGAGGAGGAGGAAGAAGGAAAAAGACAAAAGAGGAGAAAGAGAGAATGAATTTTCATGGAGGAATCGTTAAAATTATCTAACTTATTGAAGAGGTTCTCTTAGCCTAAAGTCAAGACATACTTCATTCTGGCTGTGTAACTGGCTAGTGATCAGAACAACACAGATAGTGATTTAAACATCCACATTCTCACTGGTGCTTTCTGATCTGACTTATGTGATTAAGTGGTTGCAGTAACAAGGGCAATGATTTTATATATTTACTATGTCCATCTGAATTTTGGATAAACAATGCTTTACAGCAATTGGTATTTTAGGAAAACAAACTATGGAGTAAAACAACGTGCTATGAATATACAACCCATTGATCCACTTTCAAAATCTGAATTATATAATACTCAGCTGTAGTACATACAATCTCAGTAACAATAAAACCCCACACATCTTCAAAGTCAGTGGCTGGGCAGCTAGGAAGTGTAAGACACAGCGTAAAGCTCAAGGGTGACAAGTTCATGCCACGGGCTTACTCACCAGAAATGGTTTTTACTTCATCCATTACCTTTCTGAGACTGACACTCCCATCAACTACAAAATAATAGAAGGGCAGTCATCAACATAGATACCAAAGGAACACACGTTCTAAGACTTGCTCTAAAATTGTCACAGTTGTAAAGAGGGATGATAACATGAGCAAAGGAGTCAAGATCTTGATGGGGAAACCCACAGAAACAGCTGACCTGAGCTAGTGGGAGCTCACTGGCTCTGGACGGACAGCTGGAGAACCTCCATCTGACCGAACTAGCGCCTCTAAATGTGGGTGACAGCTGTGTGGTGTAAGCAGTTTGTGGGGCCACTGGCTATGGAACCAGTATTTATTCCTAATGCATGAATTGGCATTTTGGAGCCCATTCCCTATGGAGGGATACCTGGCCCAGCCTAGATACATGGAGGGGAGCCTTGGTCCTGTCTCAAGTGCTGTGACAGATTTTGTAGACTCTCCCGAGAGGCTTCACCTTCTCTGAGGAACAGATGGGGGACGGGTGGAGGAAAAGTGATAGGAGAAGGAGGAGGGACAGGAGAGGGAAGTGGGTATGCAAAATAAAAAAAGATCATTTTAAAAGAAAAGGAAAAAAAAGACAAAGAATTTCAAGGTTGAAAGGAACACATGGCCCTACATGTTAAAATTCCTGTAACAATGATGTTACTCTGCATTCTCTATCTTTTAAGTCACTCTGGGTACAAAAATTTGAATTTTGAATCTTTCTTTGGAATTAACTTTCTTGCTTGGAAACTGTATACTTTTCTCTTTAATATATGAATGAAGCAAAAACCAAAAACTGGTTCTTATCACATGCTGGTGGTTCTACTGGATTAGGGAGACTGTCCAATCTACAAATAATTATTACCATTTTATTTTAATTTGACTTGTTATTTGATAGTAAATGTTGATATTATAGAATATTTTAGAATGTTATGCTTAATTATATTACATAGCAATCAACTATGCATACTGTAGAGGCTTACTAAATTCAGTTAAAGGCAACAGTTATTGAGTACTTTCTTTGTAATTGGCATTGTTCCTTAAAAAACAGATACACAGTAACACAGGAAAGGAAGATCATGGGGGGTATTAAGTGGTGGAAAGACAGAAAATCTGAGATATGGCACAGAGAATGCTGCCAAGTGCCACTGCTGAAGTTTAAAGAGACATTACGGAGGTGACATTGAAAAGACTTGAAGTGGAAAGAATGGACCAGGTAGATGTCTGAGGGGTGGATGTTTCAGTCAGTGAGAAAGCTTGAGAAGACAGCATGACTGGCTTGTGTGTCTGAGGATGAGTGTTTCTAGAATGGGCTAAGCATGGGAAACTAGCGGAAGATTTCAGGAGACTAAATACATCATGTAAACCTCCTAAGTCATTGTAAGGAACCTGGAGAGAAACTAGAAAACCTGGAAGTGTGTTTTGAGCCCAGGAGTTTCATGATGTGATCTGTATATTAACAGGATAACTCTAGATGCTATGTAGAGAACCAGGCTGATATTCAATCCTTGAGTTATTATCATAGGTTCTGTCTTCAGAAGTGTGGTTTTTCTGCTACAATAACAAGCTCTAACACTGTTTCCCCGTCCAAGTTCATCGCTCTTCTGGACATTGCAGTGTCTTCTAACTGTTCTCTCTTCCTATGGTTTCCTTTTTAACATATCTCTATAGAGTTTCCAGGGTGGGCATAGCCCACACCTGGTGCACAGGCATAGCACGCACATACACCACACACATACACACCACACACACACACACACCACATACACACCACACACACACACACCACACATACACACCACACACACACACCACACCACACACACACACCACACCACACACACAAACCACACATACACACCACACACCACACATACCATACACACACACACACACACACACACACCACACACACCACACCACACACACACCACACATACACCACACACATACACACCACACACACACACACACACACACACACACACACACACACAGAGTGATCTTACAGATTTCTCCCTGTCTAACTACACAGGGAGAGCATTGCCGCCATGCCATATAAGAAGGATGAGTGTGAGGTTGGTTGTATTTAAACAACATCCCAGTGAGGTTAAAGGCTTACCATTCCGCTGCAGATTCTGAATCAGGTTGTCAAGCTCCTTTTCTTCGACTTCTATGCCCATTCTCTCCAGAAGAGAATCCAGTTTATTGGCACTAACAGTCCCTCCTTTTGAAAGACACAGGCAGATGAACAAAAATTAAGGAACCAAAAGTTTCAAAATTATCAAATATTATGCATTGTTATCATTTTCAGCAGACATAAAAAACATAGCTCAATAATAGTAACAATAACAAAGGGATTCCACAATGGACTAAGGAGAGAAACCTTCCCACAAGGTTTCCTCAGCGCCAGTCTACCCAGTGCACAGCTGGAAAGGGCTCGACAGATCAATTGCACCATCAGCTCAGCAGAGGCGGGACAAGCCTTGTGGGTTTGCTTCATTTTCCCCAGCATGTACAATTTGTTTTTTGTTTTCCAAAGCTTCAGATTGTTTCTACTACTGGCCAAATGCCCCTCATAAAACAATTTTTATTCCTTCCATTTTTTTTTAAACATTTCAAGTGAGGTCAGTCCGCTTGGCTCATTTTCCCTCAGTACCTCACTTCCCAGGGCATGGGTTTCTTTCTAAGAACAACAGAAGCTAAGAGAGCAAACGGCAAGTAACCCACAAGAGAAGTCTGAGTGCAGCAACCACAGCACCCACACTGTGGTGTTAAAGAAACCGAGATTTCAGCCCTACCTGCAAGTCATCAGGGCTTGTTCTCACCTTTAAGAAACTTCAGACTATCCATCAGCCGATTTTGATAGACCTTCCCGTCTTCTGTAAGAAATGCCCATGTGAGAAATGCACAGATATACAGGAAAACTCACGAAGGTAAGATAAAAAAGCTATTATTTAAAAAAGACTTATATGGTTATGTACACACATGAGGTCAATGGAAAGCAATAAGATCAAGGTGCAGAGGCAGCTTTCAGTGTATCTTCCTCCTCACGGCAGCAACGCAGTTCACTCTGGCTAACGTGACTGCTTTCTTCTCTACAGCCTCGTCATTAGCCTATGTCTCTATTATGCTTGCTCCAATCTGTGTCTCAATCACAACCTAATGTTTAGTCCTTTCACTCATGGTGGCAGCACAATTCTGGGCAAAGAATCTCAAGATGTATGTTCTTTCTTCCACAATCAAATAAAGGTAACTTTAAAAATCAAATAAAGGTAACTTTAAAGCTTACCACCACTAGGGACTACAGAGATGGTTCAATTGGTAAAGTGTTTATTGAGTGAATCTGAACACAGAACCCATGAAAGAAAAAAAGCACTGAGGAGGAAATGGGAGGATGTGTGATGGGGAAACTCTGTTAACCAATCACAGTGAATTGGGCGTGGTGACCTGGTCCCCAGGGAAGAAAACCTGGAGATCCAGGTGTGCTCGCTGTCTCCACGTGGTGCTCGCCGGACCATTTTGGATTTTGGACCACCCACTCTTGTAGCATGAGTTCCCCCCTTTGTCAATTATTGAAATATAGCTTGTTCTTGAGCTGGTCTGGTTATTCATTGTACTGACTATGTCTACACTTGGCACCCAATGTGGGGCCACCGTGAGCCATTTGTGTGCCTCGCGGTTGCTGTGCACTTTCCCATCCTGGTACTGGTACGTGGGATTTTTGGAACCTCTTGTAGTGCAAGCCAGCTGCGACAGCGACAGTGGAGCGTTCAGTTCATTTGGGCTTAGATAGCCGTGTCTCCACACGTGCTACCTGCACGGCTGCTACAGATGTGGGCTGCCCCCCTCGGCTTCTCTCGACTTGCTCTTGGCAGCCGGTGCAGGCTCTGGACCTAAGCACTTCCAGGCATGTGAGCCCTGTGCCGGCATCCTACTGCAGGCTTTGGGTCCATCCACAGCTGCCACTCGGCCAGAACAAGAAACTATTGAGCAGCCATTCACGTGCTCCACATCCAGCTGCTGCCACTCCACCAGAGCAAGAAACTATTGAGTAGCCAAGCACATTAACAGAGCACACTCTCTGTGATTTTAACTTCTTGATTTGAGTATATTTTTCAGTATGTCATTTACATTCAGCTATCTAAAACCAAGCACGTGGATTCAGGTACACCCCGCCACCTACTGGCGAACAACGGTTATTGCACCTACTCTTGCTGATTTGATTAAACCACAGGTAAGATTAATTTTGAATTTAAAAAGGGAAAATGTCAGACAGTCTAACTCTCCACGGTTTCCATAGCCTTTTCACTTACTCCATGTTGGAGGTCTTACAAGATGCACCCCTCTCACGTGGCTATTTCTGGGATTCACCTTTTTTTCTTGTATTTTATGGCTTTTTCATAATATGGTTTGACAACAGGAAAATGATGCAGTCTTTACACACTGAATCCAGAATTCTTAGAAAAGAAGTTGAAAAATCTAAGGAAGGATACAACCAACCATCTTGACTGACAATTTTCAGTCAGCTGAGGTAATTTCAAAAACAATTCAGACTAATACCAACCTCTTCAAGAAAGAGATTGGAGTTCTCAAGGAGAAGACTAGATCTTTGTTTAATATGACTCGGTCAACTGAGCTAATTTTGAAAAAGTTACAGACTAATAGTAATTCATTTAAGGAGAGATTCAGTGCTCTGGAGAAGTAGACGACTGATTTGGCACATAAAATCCAGTCCATGACAGTGGGTGCTGAAACATTATTTGAGAGGATTCGAACTGCCGAATGCATTAATCGGATTTTGTCAAAGGGTTATGACAGATTGACTGAGTGGTGCCAGAGAATTGTCTGTATTCTGTCAATCATGTTTTAAATAAATGCTGATTGGCCAGCAGGAAGTATAGGCGGTTCAACCAGACAGGAAGTAGAGGTGGGGCGATGAGAACAGGAGAATTCTGGGAAGGAGGAAGCCCATTCCTCCCAGTTCTGCCCAGACCACCAAAGAGACAAGATGTAAGCTTCCCCACTGTGAAAGGTACCGAGCTATGTGGCTAACATAGATAAAAATAATGGGTTAATATAAGCTACAAAAGCTAATAAGTAGCCTGAGCTAATGGACCAATCAGTTTTATAACTTATGGAGATCTCTGTGTGATTTTCTTTGGGGCTTGCCAGCTGTGGGGAACAGGGCAGGACATAAGCCCCAACAAGCAGGCCTTGCATGTTACAGATGTGTGTGGCTCATTGCCCTCTACATAAGCCTAAAAACCAAGCTGGACAGTTCCCCATCCCCTCTCTCACACATACATACACACAAACATGTAATACTAAGTTCTTTTTCCCTTCCTTCCCTCCTTTCTTCCTTCATTTTCTCAGACAGGGTCTTACTATGAATCCATGGCTGCCCTGAACTCTTTGTTGGCACTAAGTTCTTTGAAAGAACTAACACTAACATCTGAAATTCTCACCATTGACTGGAAGATGTTTTAGCAGCTTCAACATTTCTTTTTCCTCCAGGCTGATCCCCATGTTTTTCAGAGTATTTCTTACATCACTGACATCAATCTCTCCTCCTTCAAAACATGAAATAATTTAAATACATCCTACTCTAAAATACATATAAACCTATCTCATCTCACTCTATTCCATATTAATTTTACTGCTTGATAAGGAGTAAGGACAGGGTGTAACACACGCACACACAACACACTCTCTTTCTCTCTCTCTCTCTCACACACTCTCTCTCTTACACACACACACCTTCTCTCTCTCATATACACACACTCTCACACACACACTCTCTCTCACACACTCTCACACACACACTCTCTCACACACTCACTCTCACACACACAC